GGATGAGGAGCCCGCGGGATGCGATGCGGCAGCAGCGGCTCCGCTCCCGGCCTGGCTGCCCCGAGCCCAGCGCGGCCACGGGCGTCGTGGCCACACGAGCAGGATGTGAGCGGGGCGCGCGATGGCGAAAACAAGAGGTCGCCGTTTAACGTTTATAAGGAAAATGGGCTGTACTGCTTCCCATTTGAGTCATTAACATGATTGTAAACACTGGAGCATGTGCTGCTCTGGGAAATCCTAGGTAAAGATCAAGGACAGGCTGTATAACCTCCTGTCAGGAGGGTGGCCTAGCTTTAGACCCTTGCACGGGCTCCACGAGCTTGGTGCCTCCACATGGGGACAGGGAGCGGGCTGGAGCTGTATGGARCAGCGCTGCCGCCAAAAGAGAAGAACAGGAATAAAATACACACACACACACATATATGTATTTTAAAAAAAATTTTACCACATTCCTGTGTATCACATATGCAAGCATTTTGGTTGTCAGCGTCTATGCTTTTCTATATAATGTGATATCCATAAATGTGGTCACTTAAGGCAGAAAATTTTCAGTTCGGATTAGTTCTAGTGCAGCTATAATATATAAATATATGAAATTGGTCAAATGTGTGGCTTAAACTGGCCACTGACAAGTTTGTTCAGTGTTTTTGTTAAAAATATATGTCTGCGAACGAGCGTTCCTCAACCCCTGGGCACACTGGCATTCAGGGCAGCTTCTCTCTGTGACCCAAGTATCGGCAGCCAGACTTACCCATCTGCATTTATTSAATAAATATGTGTAGAAACAACAGCCCAATTGCACCCAGCACTGCAGAAATATGCAAGGAGAAAATCTAGCAGTGTTTCTAGTGAGGCTGGCCGTAAATCTAAAATGCCAAGGCCAGTCTCTGGTTTATGGATTACTAATTGCTATCCCTTTTTCCGTGATGAACGTGCAGTGCCCTGCGAGTGCTCCAGCCCTAGTGCCCCGTGTCATTACAGTGCAAGGAAACGAGCCCTCCAGTGCTGGGACACGGCTCCCTGCGAGCTCCCTGGGACATGAAAGCAAGAACAAAATGCGAGCGAGTCGAAGGGGGATGGAGAGGCAGGACTYGGTGTACAGGCAGAATTCACTTTCTGTGTCCTTAGCTCTGCAGAAAAGCCGGAGCAAAACAAAATAGTGAGGAAGCTAAAGACTCGCAGGCTCGGAAAGGAGGGTGGCTTTAAAAAAATCCTTGAATGTCTGGTTTTTGAAGATGTTTAATCTCTATTTTTAGACATTTATACTGAGAGTGTGTTTAGTTTCGTGATTGCTGCTTTTTCTTTCCTCCTTTTCTTTTTTCTTTCATTTGGATCTAGCAAAATTTTTAATATATGCAGCACCATCCTGGGCAGTTTTCTGCCCCAAACGGAGGGCCTCAGGGAGGCACCCAGCACGCTGCAGGATCAGGCACGTGTTTGTGCAACGCACTTAAGTGTAAGGCTTAAGACCCGCACGTATGTACCATGCACACAAACCAAGACCAGTGCTGGGATTTTGTGTGGTCCTCGCCAACTTTTCCACTCTATTCAACATTTTCAGAAATTAACATGTAATTTCAAAATGAGCTATAAAATTTAAAAGCCTAATAGGAACACAATGGAACCTGTTTTCAGAAATAACCCCGGGGACCTGCAAAACCTACCAGCATTAGTGACTTTTGCAAGTTTGATCTACACGGGGCTGGAAACCTTGGGGATACTGTAAAATAAATGGTAATCTGGGGCAGCTGAAGGAGGCAGCTTGTTGCGGAGCTGAATGTCTTGCAGAAGTGAAATGGGGAGCAGCAAGGGCAGGAGGAAATGCACAAAGCAGCCTAGCTGCAATTGGAAGGTTACGCAGTCAAGATCGGATTTCTGTAGGAATTTTATTAGTATGTGACCTGATTCATCACCATTGAAACAATAAAGAATCGAGACTTGAGGTGAGGGCTGTGTTTAATTTGCCGGTTTGCCTTTTTTTTATTTAAAAAAAAAAAAAAAAAAAAAGATTAGAAGCAAACTGCTTTACTGCAGGTGGACTTTCACACTTAATGTATCGTATATCATAGCCAAAACTTGGGAATATTAAAAAT